CAACAGACTTGGTATATATATAAGAATGAATCTGACTTGAGGGTTGAATCATCTAAGAACCTTCACAGGCACGAGCAAGTAAAACTGAAAACTAAGTTTATTTTTGAGAAATGCCTTCACTTTCTAAGTTATTTTTAAAAGTCATACTCATTAAGGAACTACTAAGTATTTTTTAATTAGGAAAAAAAAAATCAACCCATAATTGCTTATGTGGTAGATATAAGTAAATGCTATATAAGGAAACGAAACTATTTGAAAACATGGCTATATTACCAAGGAACGTTTATTTTCATTTCTAGTCCTACATGCCAGAGTACTGCAAAAAAGTAGACACGCGTCGCCCTGCTGTAGTGCTTTGGTAGTCTGTGTGTTGATGTGCACAGACAACAGCAGGGTGAAGCCAGTGCTAACGTAAAATATTTAAGGTTATATTAACTAAAGAGTAGCATTTCTAAGGTATTTTGAATATGAGGTCATTTGGTACTTTTCAGTAGGTAGAAGGATAGGAATATGGGAAAATGGCTTAATACCAGTGTTTGTTGTTTGTGTGTGACATTGTATGGTTTGACCCTCTAGGATAATTGTTTTCGTCCATAGATAAAAAATTTGAATTACTTAAATAATTAGATTTTTACTTTTGAGAGGTCTTGTTACAATGGACTCACTATTTTGAGAGAATTTGCATATATATATGTATATGTATATATATATATATACACACACACACACACACACACACACACACACACACCAGTCATTATCTGTTTGTTCCTTAATACAATTTCAACTTGGACAGATTCTAGTTAAGCCATAAGTCAATGTGTTAACTTGTTTTGATTAAAGAATTTTTCTATCAAACTTTACTAGTAAATTACTTCTTTGCTATTTACAAGAGTACATGATGGGATTCTGGATTTGCTGCCAAGGAAATAATTTCTCAGTTAACTAGTCATAGAGATTATGTTGTTTGGGAAGACAGAGTAACTAACCAGTGAGCTCAAGATGATTAAAAATGCGACCGGGGGGTGGGGGGAGGAGACAAAACATCAGTGAGGGTGCATGATCCCAGTCCTGGCGAAGTGGGGCCCAGTGAGAGGCCCAAACCTGTGCGTAACCACTTATGTACCTAATCCTGACTTGATAAAAATAAAGGAAATATTGTTTATCTACTGTTTACCCTCCTTTCTGTCCCCTGACCCGCCAGATGAGAAGCCACAGAGTATTCAACTTCTGGAGATACATCAGCAATTTGATGATTTATGTCTGTTTTCCTAGGCTGATCTTGCTCTAACCAGTTGATATATGTACAGAGTCTTATAAATAGTTATCAAGAACTTCCAGGAGCATTGGCTTAACTTAAATTGTGTATTTGGTCAAAACTCTGTAACTGAATCAGCCACCAAGAACAAATTTCAATGAGATAGCACCGCCCCCAAAGAGAGTATATATAATTTCATGTGTATTTTTTCATCATTAGATAAAAGAGTAAGTTATATACAACCCCGCAGAATTGGTTGTTGAAGGTTTTCTCTGCTGCTTGGAGAAATATCAGATACACCATCTGCATCAAGCGAATCTGACTGGGACCTTGCATATGAAGTTTGACAAGAGAACCTTAAACCTCATGACTGCTTTTATCGTCAGTTATTTCAAAGAGTATGATAGATTTTACCCAGTTTCTGCTGATACAATAATGTAGTATACGTTCCTACCCACACATACTTACCTGGTTACAGATGTCAGGTCGAGGTAAGGTCTGCCAATCTAATTCTGAATAAGAGGAAAGATGTTATAGGGCTCTGTGAGTACTTTGCTAATAACTTTTATCACATTGGCAGGAGAAGGTACAATATGTTGGAAATAGCATCCACATACCACTAAGCCCTTAAGAATTCTACAAAGAAGTTGGTATAATAGGTATAATAGGTTTATACATACTTGTGTTGGGTGATTCTGCAACACACAGATATTAAAGATAACTGATCTCTCAGGAAAATAAAAATGTATAATTATCCTTAAAGGGTACTGAAGGATACTGAGAAGGAACTGAGAAGGATGTTTTTTTGGTATTTTTTTTTGAGTTGGAGTCTCACTCTGTCGCCCAGACTAGAGTGCAGTGGCCACTCCCAGCCACCGCAGCCTCCACCTGCTGGGCTCCAGTGATCCTTCCGCCTCGGCCTTCCAAGTAGCTGGAACTACAGGCGTGCACTACCACACCCGGTTAATTTTTTGATTTTATTGTAGAGATGAGGTCTCGCCAAGTTGCCCAGGCGGGTCTCGAACCCGTGGGCTCAGGCAGTCTACTCACTTCAGCCTCCCAAAGCGCGGGATTACAGGCTGAGCCACCAAGCCTGGCTGAGAAAGATGTTTAATAGCGATTCCTTTTCTATATATAGGGACTTGTGTGGATATGCACCCACTGTTACATCAAAATGAAATTCGTTTCAACCACAAAGGAGGCTGACTGATAAATTCATGGCAAATTTAATAGGCATGTGGTGTTGAATAAATTTAAAATAGGTATAACGAAATGCTGTCTTGGATCAGGGATTATAGCTCCAAAACATACAAAGTTAAAAATTTCTTTTGACTTGAATTTGGTGAGCTACCTGTATAAATGACACCCAACACAGGCAAACTGAGGGAGTAACCTGGTTAGCCGTTCTTCTTGTTAACCTGAAGAACTGTAAGAATTCTCAAGAAGTGATGAAACAGGGATTCCAGCAGCAATAATGCTGGAACTGGTACGTTTCTTCTCTGTCCCCTAAAATGAATTGATTGGCACCACACATAGAATAATGCACTGTGACTATAATTAACTTTCTGGAATTCGCTGTTCTGAGTATGAAGTGAAAATGAGTAAAAGTAAACAGACCCTTGCAACGTAAGACCTTTAAGGAATGCATTCTTAAAAATAAAGGAATCAGGCCGGGCAAAGTGGCTCATGCCTATGATCCCAGCACTTTGGGAGGCTGAAAGTGGGAGGATGGCTTGAGCCCAGGAGTTCGAGACCACTCTGGGCAGCATAATGAGAATGCGTCTCTACAAAAACTCAGAAAATTAGCCAGGCATAGTAGCATGCACCTAGCATTCCAGTTACTTGGGAGGCTGAGGCAGAAACATCACCTGAGCCCAGGAGTTCAAGGCTGTGTGCCATCATGCCACTGTGCTCCAGCCTGGGTTAGAGTGAGACCCTGTCATAGAAAAAATAATCAAAAGTTTACCTGTTGCATTTCAGGATTGGGTAAATCACTTATTTATCTTAAATCTATGTTTTTCCAGCAAAATTTCAACCTGCTAAATCTTAAGCATCGTTGAATACACTAAAGTAGAAGTTCAGGCACAACATGAGTCAGCCACGGAGGGGCCTCTCAGTTCTTTGTGCTGATCTTCTGAGTACTGACTGAGTCAATGATGGAAACACCACCAGACATACCAGAAATGGGTGCGTGTCATCTCCAAACCAGTTAACTGGATATGTGGCATTTAAGTCCATAAAACATACTCCACTGTCAGTCTTAAACACACAGGCCTACAGTTTTCCTCAGATTTTGATTTATATGGTAAATGTCTGCTTTTAGCCATCCAAATGTGCAATTCAGTCGAATTTAAATACAACCTAGGGGAAAGAAAGCGAAACTTAAATGTCTATTGTAAATGATGCAGTTAAAATCTATTTTCATAGCATTAAATCTTAAACCATATTAAGTTTTCCACCCAAAGAAGCTTCCAAAGAATATTTAAATACAGACAGCTACAATTTTCTCTCATGATCTAGACCTGGGAATTAAGTTTCTTTCTTTCTCTTTGGCTCAGAATAAGAGTAACTAGGATTATCATGATAAGGAGACTAGAAGGGTTGAACAGTGGGCCAGAAAAAGTCATGTCCCTGTTTCCTCGTTATGCTTACAGAATATTGGTATAATTGCCCAAGAATAAGTGAGCCGGAACTAGCAATCAAGTAGGAACTTAAATTGTCCACGTTCCATGTCCCTATGGTCATACAAAATGTACTTTTTAAAAATCATATTAAGTTGACATTTTAAATTCAAAGCATGTGATTCACAAGAAGTTTGTCAAGAAACGAAGCTTCAATTTAAATGCTACTTCATTACAGTCATGAGCATATACGTGATCTTTTACATCCATTACTCACGTAGCGAGGCTCATTAAAATGTCTTAGGCGCCCAGTTTCTATCATATAAAACCTAACATTACAAAAGAGCCCTGTATAAGATTACATGACCCAACAGCTATTCTTGATTCTGCAGTACTCATTAAGTAACTTACTCCTTTCCCTAATTTTTATCACAGATGCTTGAAGGATCTTTACCTTGGAAGCCTCAAGGTAGGAGGTGATGGGTGTAGCTCTCACATTCTCCAGAGAATTTCCAAAATACTTCTACCACTTGATGTGTCATTAACTGAGTGCTACCACGGGCAAAAAACACTCTGGACAGAAAATGAAATGGGCAAGCCACAGACGGGGAGAAAGAAGCAGGATACATGCATCTGATAAAGCATTTATATTTAGAATGTATAAAACACGTCTACAGCTCAATAAGATACCCATTTAAATGGGTAAAAACCACTAAACTAAAAGCATACTTTGCATAAATACTAAATCAAATAACTGAATCTACCAAACATTAAGTACAATCAAGTTAGTTGAGGAGAAAATCTGTGATTCTGACTCTTTCTTTCGGTAGCTTTAGCCGCTTGCTCCGGGTGGGTCCTGTCCTCGGCAGCATTTCTTGAAGACAAAGCAGCCATCAAGAGCACGGTTATTTCACGTGCACTTTTGTGGGGGGGTGGGGGGGGCCTTTCAGGTAAAGGTTCCAGGATCCACGTAAGGAAACGCAAGGAATTCGCCCAGCTTGTTGCCGTCGGGGCCATAGTGCAGCATTCGGAAGCAGGCGTCACAAAAGAAACAAGGGTCCGCTGGCGCAAAACTGTCATTGTTCGTCACCCACCTGCGGTTTTCGGAAAAAGACGCGGCACGTCATCACAGTCAGGTTTCTCATGCTTCGTCCTACTCTGGATTACGAGCGGCAGTATGTAAACGTGGCATTCCCACGCTTTCCTCATCAGTCTACATTACTGACACATCATAACCCTTCATGTGATTTTGTATGCACACAGAGAGGCATGCCACTGCCAGCATTCCACAAAGCAAAGGCGCGTCTAACACTAAGAAACACTGCGGGGGGGCATACCGCATCCACAAGGGTCCTGATAACGCACATGTGTATGCCTAATCCCGAATTGTGCCCCACATCTTTAAAATAAAAATTAAAAAAAAAGAAACACTGCAGAGAGCCGTTTGTTTGTAAGACTTCCCCTTAAAGCTAAGTAAAGAGTAGACCTCTCTCTGAAAACATCAGACGTCTGCCACAACATGCCGATTCTCCAAGCGACTTACTGATGAGAGACCATGATAAGGGATTACAGATCTGATAAAACACTTTTGCCGATCTTTTTTTTTTGCGAGTTGGAGTCTCACTCTTGTTGCCCAGACTGGAGTTCAGTAACACGCTCACGGCCACCTGGGCTCAAGCGATCCTTCTGCCGTGGCCTTCCAAGTAGCTGGCACTACACATGCATGCCACCACACCCAGCTAGTTTTTGTGATTTATGGTAGAGACGAGGTCTCACCAAGTTGCGCAGGCTGGTCTTGAACCCTCAGGATAAGGCAAACCTCTTTGCCTTGGCCTCCCAAAAAGTGCTGGGATGACAGGCTGAGCCACCACACCTAGCCGCCTAATTTATCTTCTTAGCAGGTAAATGAGCACCAGTTAACTTGAAAACTACAACTGTTTGACCCAGCATTCAGAGCATAACGTTACGATATGGAGCTTATACAAATGGGAATATAGGCAACATTATTAAATTGAGATTGTATTCCACTGTATTCAAACTCTGCTTCTCATGGAATGTTCGATTTTTAACAATTTTGTTTTTGTCTAATCTGTTTTCCTGTTGATCTTTCAGAAAAGTATACTGTGGTAGGGAAGATGAAAGAAGCTGAAGATGCAGGTGGAGACCCTTATCCTAAATGCTTGGAACCAAAAGTATTCCAAATTTCAGATTTTTTTGAATATTGGAATATTTGTATTATGCTATATATACTTAACTGGTAGGGCATTCCAAATCTGAAAATCCAAAATGCTCCAATGATAATTTCCTTTGAGCATTATGCTGGCACTCAAAAAGTTTCAGATTCTGCATTTCTGATTTTCAGCTTTGGGGTGCTCAGCCGGTACTAAATTCACCCCTTTCCTGAGTCAGACTTTTGGACTCGGATCTACAGTAAGAGATGCCTTACAATCTAAACATGCAGAATCACATAAAGTTAAAAAAAAATAACTTGTGGTAGAGGCAGGGTCTTGCTATGTTGCCCCAGCTGGTCTTGAACTCCTGGCCCCAGTTAATCCTCCTGCCTCAGCCCCCCCCAAAGCACTGGTATTACAGATGTGAGGCACTGTGCCCAACCAAAAATGTTTTTTGTTTTTTTTGAGTTGGAGTCTCACTCTGTCGCCCAGACTGGAGTGCACTGGCCACTCCCGGCCACCGCAGCCTCGACCTGCTGGGCTCTGGCGATCCTTCCACCTCAGCCTTCCGAGTAGCCGGAATTACAGGCATGCGCTACCACGCCCAGCTGATTTTTTGATTTATTGTAGAGATGAGGTATCGCTGTTCAGGCGGGTCTCGAACCGGCGGGCTCAGGCAGTCCACTTACCTCGGCCTCCCAAAGGGCTGGGATTACAGGCTGAGCCACTGAGCCCAGCTCAAAAATGTTATACAACTATATTTTGACCTCATTAGTGAAGTGTCATTTCATCGACAAGCTGTGGGATGAGGCTGATAATAAAACACAGACAGTAGGCAGAACGTGGCTCCCTGAGCGCTGTATCAACCCTGAATTCCAACCTACCCCCAAACTTATGTACATATGATCATGTTTCCTTATTGCTTAAAAATAATAGTTTTAGCCTGCTAATCTGAGCGTAGCACTTCTCTACTAGACATATTTACAAACTAAAGTACAAAAGGAAAAACTGAGCTGGGCTCGGTGGCTCAGTCTGTAATCCCACGCCTCTGGGAGGCTGAGGTGAGTGGACTGCCTGAGCCTGCGGGTTCAAGACCCACCTAGGCAACTTGGCGAGCCCTCATCTCTACAATAAATAAAAAACTTTGCCGGGCGTGGTAGCGCGTGACTGTAGTTGGAAGGCTGAGGTGGAAGGTCGAGGCTGCAGTGGCCGGGAGCAGCCACTGCACTCCAGTCTGGGTGACAGTGAGACTCCGATTCAAAAAAAAAAAAGGGAAAACTGAAATATCAAAAGTCAAAAGTACTTAACTACTGAAAACTAACACTTCTCAAAGAAAAATGTAAGCATCACTCACCTGGCAGTGTACATTTTACAAACAAAACATTTTCTGGTCCACAGCCAGTGCTTCTTGATAAGGAGGGGATAGAGTGTCCTATCCACGCAGTCATCATGGTGCACAAGCCTTTGGTTCATGAGAAAATAAATGAAAACATTAAAGGGCAAATTTTTATGTTTGCAGAGAAATACATCTGACCCTCAACATTAGGAATATAGATATTTTCGATTTTTGCTTATGAAAGATTCATATTAATTACTTCCTTCACCACACTGGACTAAATTGTGTTCCATAGAATACTTTCTCCAAAACAAGGTTCTCTCTCCGAGAGACTCCTCAGATTCCTTTATGTGCACCATAACCCTCTAAGAGGAAGCTATTGTATGCAGAACTTAATGCTTCTATTCCATCAGAAAATCCTTACTACTTAACATTTAGTACCTTTGTATGGAGCATAGTTTGAGCAGGGCTACTCAGTGATATTTAACCTAGATCAACTGGTTGTTACAAGGTGGCTCTTGATTTTTAATGTCCCCTTTATTAAAATCTAAATCTGGTTCCTGGCATAATATGAACCGGTAGAATTTTAGTTTTAGGCGTCAGAATTACGAAACTTTAAAAAATTCGAAGTGAAAGTTAATCTCCAACTCTGCCACTAATCAGCACCATGGCTTTGGGTAGATTCCTTAAACCATGACAGACCTCAGATGATTTTTCTGAAAAAGGAAAGAATGGCACAAAATTATTCTAAAAGTTCCTGACAATTCTAAATTTGATTTTTTTTTTTTTTTGGTAAGAAAGAGTAGTGGTGTATTAGACAATGACTAAACTTTTGATAGCTAGTAGTGTGTAAAAGCACTGAATGAATAAACTTGTAAGAAGAAAATGACTGGTGGTCTAAATTGCCTTTAAAAAGTCCCACACTGCAAACTCATAGTAAGTGCAAATTGCTCTTTCTCTATCAAGAAAACAGATCCTCATTTCTTTTGTTTCCTGCTCATTAAGAAGCTGCCTTGAGTTTAAGGGCCACGTTTTTATCCTTTAGCCTCAGCCAGCACTGTTTATATGCCTACACTGTAGGAAACACAAGGTTAGTAAGACTAGTCAGTGAGCAATCAATCGTGGATTGTTTTCCAGCTTAAGTTTATTATGAGGCAAGTACATTCTCCCACACTTGAATGGAAGATCAGGCAGAACAGCTTACATAACATTTTAATAACAACAGACACACATGTACTATATGCAATTCTGAAAGTCACATAAATCCAAGGTTGACGGGCTCTCCTTCTCCTCCTTCTCTAGGGGCAGCTATTTTCCATTCTCAACTGTTTCTTCAGAATTTAGCTCTTCTCTATAGAATGACTATAATTTTGGCTTAAACAGGTATTTAGTGTTTAAATTATGACGAATTAATGCGGTTGCCAACCAAGCCACACAACTGACTATATTTTCCTTTCACCGTGTAACATTCTGTTTTCTACCTACTAATTCCTTTGCTCTTTCCAGTGTACTTGTCACTAATTCAGTTCTCTTTCCTCTTCTTTTGGAGAGACAGGGTTTCACTGCTGCCCACACTGGAATGCAGTGGTATGATCCGAGCTCACTGTGGCCTGGAACTCAGGCTCAAGCAGTCCTCCTGTCTCAGCCTCTCAAGCAGCTGGGATTACAGACATCTGTCACCACACCTGACTTATTTTTTAGTTTTTGTAGAGATAAGGCCTCACTATGTATCCCAGGCTCGAACTCTTGGGCTCAAGTGATCCTCCTGCCACGGTCTCCTAAAGTGCTGGGATCACAGGCGTGAGCCACTGTACCCAGTAAGTTCCCTATTATCTCTTGTAAAAGTGAACGTCATGTCAATTTGAGTTAAATACCTATAGGGGGATCTATCAGTTCAATTTCCCTTCCAGACAGCCTTCCTGAGTTCTTTTTTTTTTTGAGTTGGAGTCTCACTCTATCACCCAGACTGGAGTACAGCCTCGAGCTGCTGGGCTCCGACGATCCTTCTGCCTCAGCCTTCCAAGTAGCTGGAACTACAGGCGTGCGCTACCACACCCG